GCTTTCTCTAGGCAGTTCTTCCTCTCTTGTACTCTGCTCCTTAAATTTGCTGCAGCCTTCCTGATCTCCAGTCTTTCTCTCTGTCCTCAACTTTACAAGGTTGCCAGGCTCTGCTTGGGATGTGCTCCCTGCCTTGTGGACTGGAACTCGTCTCCAGGCAGAAAGCAGGAGCAATCATAAGGCTCACTTCATTTGTTTCTCTTCCCTCAGGGATTACAGCATTGTACCGTAGCCAAAAATAGTTGCCTCCTTTATTTTGTCCAGTTTTCTTATTGTTATGGCAGAAAGTATGGAAGTAAAAAATCTTATCCAGCTCTATTTTGGTTCCACTTCCAGCAGTTTCTCCTCAATGTAGGAATCTGACCTAAAAGGGACGCCTGGCTGGTCAGTTTTAAGAGTGCACAGGAGCAGACTGTTCCAGCTCTTTCTGTTGTTACCAGAGTCTCCTTGCATTCACTTGCTATTGGGTTGGGAAAAACCCCTCCCAGTTTCACCTACTGTTCTTAAGTTATTGAGCTTGCTTTCCAACGAATATCTCTAAGCTATTTTGGTTTTCTGTGGTTCCTGGGTACCTCATACACCCTGTTGTGTTTCTCAGCTTCCCCTCGCACAGATGCTAGTACATGAAGCTTTTATTGCTGTTGGTAGTTGGTAGTTTGTCTCCATTTGCTTGTATTTTGAGGGAAAGCTTGTCACCGATTTTTATTGTAAAAGTACATGGATTTTCCATTTGTTTTTCATGTAGTCGCTCTGTGTTTTGATGTGAGAATTTTGGAATATTCAAAAACTATGCAGCCACCAACCAAGCCACCACCTTCTCAGAATCTGGTAGAAATTTTAAGAGCCAGCACGTAATTTACCATGCTCTCTTCCCTCTGTCTCTGCAAGAGTAGAAGCATGTATCCAAATGTAGCCTCCATTGCAATGAGTACAGCTTGCTTGGTGACCCACTATGGATATTTAGCATGAGTGAGGAAAAAAATTTTAAGCCATTGAGGTTTGAGGATTTTCCATTGCCACAGAATAATCTAATCTATTTTGAGAGTTAGAGAGTGTTACCTTTCCACTCAAGCCAATTCATTTAGTTGACCTTAAGGTAGCCACCATTAAGTAAAGAGAGGGAGTAGGGAGAAGAAGTATGGGGGCAAGGAAGAAAAGAAATAAAACAACTTGAGAACTATGTCTAGGAAATAACTTTCAACGTTGTTGATGGTACATAGAATAGATTGGAAACAGATAGCTTACTAAATTTGGGAGGAATTATATTTCCAAAGAAACCATGCACACACACACCCCATTATACAGTGTGAATGGTAACCCCCTGAAGTTGTTTAATGTGATACTGTTGTACCTAAATTACCCACTAATATATATTATCCCATATCTCTCACAATTACCCACAATAGCATATCTGTTAACCAGGGTGCCTCAGAAGCTCACTGTAAGAGGTCTCCAAATAAAATTACAAAAATTGTGGTTACTTGAAGAGTTTATCTTGCCAAATAAATGCATTTAACCCTCACAATAAAATGCATTCTAGTTATGCAGATACCAAATTGTATTATAATGCTGTAGTTTTCCATCTTCTTTCATTAGTTTGATACTGAAGGGTGCGATACTCAATTGTTTCTTCCCAATTCTTTGGTTTCTGACCTTGATCTCTGAGGAAGGGAGAGACCAGGGGAAGAGTGGTCCTAACACATGGATGCCTGAATGGCAGAACTCCCTGCCACAAGTTTTATAGTGGACATTTGTTGGTTTTTTGCCTTTCAGTTTCCAGTCGCCCCATGTCCGATATCAAATGTGGTATTTTGTACACTTGTAGTTCAAAAGAACAGAAAACCCAAACCAAACTTGCTTTTCAGCTATCCATCATCAACTTTTTCAGCCAGCCTAGTATTTGCTCAATGGGCTCATGAACAAAATGGGCAGAGACAGAAGCTAATCCCTTAAGCTCAAGAACATGAATTTCAGCTCTCCAAGAGAATCAGGGGAAGAATATTCCAGCAGTGGCAACGGGGATTGCAGGGGGTCTAAGGCAGAAACAACCTTAATGTGTGTGAGGAACAGAAAGCAGGCCACTGTGTCTGGCTGATAATGGTGAGATGGGAGAGGAAGAGGGGCTGATTATGTAGCGCTTGGTTACCTATCGTAACACAAAACCACAGGAGGAGTTTAAGAAAGGGAGTAATATGATATGAGTTCCATTTTTAAAAGATCATTTCAGTTGCTGTATGGAAGATGAATTATAGCCAGGCAAGAATGGAAGCAGGTGACCAGTTATGATCCCTTTCAGTTCCCTGGTGTTTCAGTGGTCCAGATGAGAGATGTGGGTGGTGATAGTATACATGGAAATAAGTGGCTGGATAGTGGATATGTTTTTGAAGCCAACTTGCTGATGGACCAAATATGGGAGGAATCAAGAATGACTCATTAAGTTTTTTTTTTTTTTTTTGTGAGGAGATCAGCCCTGTGCTAACATCCGCCAATCCTCCTCTTTTTTTGCTGAGGAAGACAGCCCTGGGCTAACATCTGTGCCCATCTTCCTCTACTTTATATGGGACGCCGCCACAGCATGGCTTGCCAAGCAGTGCGTCGGTGCGCGCCCGGGATCCGAACCAGCGAACCCCGGGCCGCTGCAGCGGAGCGCGCGCACTTAACCGCTTGCGCCACCGGGCCGGCCCCTCATTAAGTTTTGATTTGAGCAATTGGTTATAACATTGATTCAGACAGGGACAACTGTGGGAGGAGTAGATTTATGGGGAAAATGAGGAATTCTCTTATGGCTAGGTCAAGTTCAAGATGCCAAGTTCAAGCTGCCAAATAGAGACGTCAAGTAGGCAATTGGATATACAAATTTGGAGTTCCCAGAGACGTCAGGGTGGAAGACACGGATGTGTTGGCAACTTGGACCACCCGGAGCCCTTATACCTGACCTGGTGTGAAGAAGAGAGGAACCAGCCAATCTAATTGTTGGCACATGGATTATAGTTGATACCTTTCAGTAGGGAGGACCCAGTGATTTATCTTCCCTAGAAAAGACACTTAGTCTGGATATGCAGTTGCTTTCCCTGCCATCATGTATCTATCAGTATAGCCTCCTGTGGGATTATCAAATATCTTATACATAGCCAAGGTATCCCCTACTACACTGCTTCTTGCTCAGCACACAGTAGCATTCAATCCTGTGTTAAAAGGCCTATATAATGGGTCACCTGTAGGGGTTGTGGCAAGGAGGGGCTGTCATTTTCGACATAGGACTTTCCAGAACTGGAAGGGACCACTAGAGACCCAGAAATCTTTCTGGGTAGTGACTCCAAAGTGTGGTCCCTGAGGTGTTTCTGATGCTTTGGAAACTGGGGGTAGTGGACACTCATTTCAATTTCAGCCAAAGCAATATACATTCTATATGGTGGACTTTTACATAGATTTTATTTGAATAAGGTTTCGGCCATTTAAAAAATGCAAAGCACGGAAGGAGTCTAACCTCTTCACTTTCTGTATGAGGAAACTGAGGTTCAGAGAGATGAAATAACTCAGACTTCTAGGCACCACTTCCCTCCTGGCTGCTTGTCCCTGCTCCTGCCCTGCTCCAAGAAACGCTGTGACAAGTCAGGAGAAGCCTGAGGACAATTTCTGTATCCAAGGATCCTGCACCTCATCCCTGAACTGTGATGGGCTTTCCCCTTTTACCTGGGAGCCCCATCATGACCCTCCCAAGCTCTGGTTGTGTGATAAGGACGGTGGAATCTGAGCTGGAGAACAGCGGGCCCCCAAGGAGGAACCTGAGGGTGCGGAGGGCAGCCGAGCCACTCGCTAGACAAGATCTTCAACTCTGAGGACTGGAGACAACTGAGAACAGCTTGGAGGTGCAGATTGAAGAGGGGGGTGGGTGGGAATTCTGAGGACCACTTGGGGTGAGGGTGGAGAATCAAATAGTCAGAGGCCCTTTTCCACCTGCTGCTGCTCTGCGGGGCCGGGCTCCGCGCCGTCCCTGCCTTGGATGTGTCCAACTACAGCATCTCCAGCTGTCCCTTTGTGTTTGTGGGGTGGGGTTGCAGACGTGGGGGACCACTTGTCATTTCAGAGAAGTCAGCCTTTTTCTGCTGATTAGTTCACCCATCAATAAAGACACGACTCTCCTGTGGTTCATTGTGACCCCCATTTCACAGGGAAACGGAGGCGCAGAGGGGAATCCAGGTCAGAGTCCGGGGGCTGTCCATCCACTCCGGGCTCGCAGGGCAGCACGAGTTCGGGAGCGTGGGCTCCAGCGCGTGGAGCAAGAATCTCGGGTGCGGCGGCCACGGGCTCCCGGGGCAAAGTGGTCCAGGGTGCAATCCCGCCACCTCTGTCTGCGCACCCAGCCTCGTCTTCCAGCTCCACGGTTTGCACGCATCCTCCCGGAGGGCGCGGGCTGGGGGCGGGGCCTCCTTGTTGTTATTTCTCTGGGGCCCCGCCCCTGAGGGGGGCGCGGACCACGCGGCTAGAGGGCCCGCCTCCCCTCCCCCTCCCCGCCCAGCTCGCCCGCCTCTTTGTATCCAACATCCGGGTTTCCCCGCTGGCTCCGCTCCGCGGCCACGGCTCAGGAGCCATTTTGGA